AAAAAAAAAAAAAAAAAAAGGAATTCCCTGACCTACCTTGCCTGAAAGTAGGTAAGGAATGGTCCTGCCCCATATCCAAGGGGAAGGAATGCTACACAGAGAGGCCAAGAAGAATCTGAACAAACAGACCTTGCTAAGTTCCCCCGAGTCATTACCATTAGATTGTACCCTTTTTGTTCAATCATGTTTCTTCACAACTATCTATTTCTTCCATTAGACTTAGCATAGAAACACACAGTTTTCCCTGGGTTTTTGGGTGTTCATTTCTGAAGGCTCTTATATCACATAAAATTTTGATTAAATAAATTTGTCATGCTTTTCTCTTGTTAATCTGTCTTTTGTTATAAGGTTGTCAGCTGTGAACTGGGCAAGGGTGAGGAAAAGGTATTATTTTTTTTTTCCCCTACAATACCAAAACCTTATGTACAGTTATATCATAAATTTAGCTATTCTTTTTTATAAGGCAAAACTTAGCTACCCCTATAATGACTGAAGATAAGGCAAATATGAACTGTGATTCTGCTAATTTAACAAAAGATGAAACATTAAAAATATCAGCAAGATATCTCTTGGACTAATTTTTTGAGTGTATTTGATAATTATTACCAAAATATATGCTTTAATTTTTTAAATTCCATTATAAAATTGGTCAATAAACAGAAGATAATACAACTATTTTATAGATCTGTATCTCAACAGCAGCATTATGAACATATGTTATTGCTTATCACCATGTTTCAGCAATGTACTTATTCTTTATCAAGGCTATTTTACTGCTTCATCCTTATCTCTGCATTTTTATTTGTCATACATGTATATCCAAGCAGAGAATAAATCAAAATTGGCTAAATACTTTTAGTGGATCTAACATTTTTGGAGAAAGAGTCTCAACACAATAAAGAGGTAGAAATTTCTAATCCTAATACTAAGTGATTAACTAAATAATAAAGCTGGGGTTTGATAGGAACACATTATTGCCACAGATTAGGATAAGAAACCCATAATCAAGCCAAGCTTATATTCTCAATTAAACTAGAAAAGAAAATACAAAGAGTATGTATCTATAGGCAACATTTTTAAAGACCAAGGAGATTTTAAAAATAAAAAAACAAATAAACCAAGTTAACATATTATACAAAGATATTCT